CCGTGAGTTTGGAGAGGGAAAAGAGAGGAGAGAAAACTCCATTTCCACCATAACAACCTTGCTTGAATCTTGAGAAAAAGTAAAGTGAAACTTGACTCCAATCCGATAAATCTTTGGGAAAGCTTGGAGGTGAGTTTGCTGGAACTTTTGGGAGGAAAAAAGTCCTTATATCACAACTTATTTTGGGGGTTTTGAGGTATTATACTAGAAACCTCTCTTGTTTCTTACTTATTTTGCAATTTAAGTAAAACATGGCTTGATTGTGATGGATTGTATGGAAAATTTCATGGTTTGGCTTATTAGCTTATAATTTTCAGTTAGGGCTTGAAATTTTCAGTTGGTTTATTGTTGTTTATATAGTATATGATGTTGATGAGATTGGATAAGGACTTGGGGTAGTGATTCAAGACATGAATGTTATTTTTAAGCATTGAATCATCAAATTTTCAGCATTAGTGATGAATCTGCCATGTTACTGACCTGTATGTTCGTTCATGTTAGAGGCCAAATCAGGTCTAGGTCAAAACATGAAAGTTGTAGGGAATGGAGTTGACTATCAGTCTATAAAAATTCAGCTCAATCGGAGTACTGTAGTATGTGAAATAACTAAAATACACTTGACTGCCAAATGCCCTATTTCACGGACAGTTTTCTGTTTTCTCTGAGATTTCACAATTTGACATTTAAAATGCATGAACTAGGTGGTGATGTCTTCATAAGAAATGTAGCTCTCTGTCTTAGTTTCGAAATGTCATAAAGTGTACCCCAATCCGATAAACGTAACTTCAGTTGTGACCAAAACGCCAAAAGATGCCAAACCTGCTGTTTAGCCATTTGTCTTGAAAATTGGTTTCCAACTTTGATTTTTATAGTTGCATTGCTAGAATTGTCTTGCAATTGGATGACATTGAGTCTAGTTAAAGGGCTATTGTGTTAAGATTGTTTATGTGTGAAGTTGGGCTGAATTGAAGAAAATAATGAAGGCATAAATGGCTGGAAAATAGCTAAATACAAAGGGCATGCCGCCCAAATTTTCACTCGAGAGTTAGGCGCGAGTACTCGCGAATTGAGCGAAAATTTGAGGTCGAATTGAACTTGAATTGTCTAGGGTATTAGAGTCTTCTTTCATAGAGGTATATAAGCTGGAATTTGGCCGAAACTCGTACCCTTGGAAACATGAAAGTAGCGACCAATAGAAATACGTTTTCTTCATCTTTTTGACTTAAATGAGAATTCCAAAATTTTAATCGCTTCCTTACCAACACTAAAAGAGCGAACATGAGTTTTCTAGGGTGTGATAAGTAATATGAATATTACCCAAATGAATTTTAGTTACTTGATTTTCGTTAAACGAAACGCTTAAGTTTCGAACCTTAGTTAATTTCAAAATTCTTAAACGATGTTTTATCGCAGATTTGGACTCCAACGAAGGAGTTACACCTAAGCGTGATTTTGACAAGCACTAAATCTTTGGTGAGTGCTTCCAAATACATGATTGAACTTGATATTTGATTTAATTCAAATATGGATGTCTCTTTGTATTCTCAAGAGGATTAATTCATGATTTATGGCTATATTATGTATACAAGTTATAATCCATAAATCTATTCATGTAGTGGAAAAATCGTTGCATAGGTTTCTTCATATTCTTGTAGTAGTGGGTGTTTAATAGGATTGATGTACCTTTAATCTTGTAGTACCTATATATAGAGGTACATTGACACCCTTTGGGATGACTTTTTGTATTGATTGGGATATAAGAAAACCACTCTCCATTTCTCTACTCATTTCCCTAATATTTCAATTCCTATTATAGTATTTTATTTTATTAGTTTTACAACAGTTACAATGCAACTCAAAATTACCGTTGAAATAAAAAAACTAATAAAAGTAGAAAAGTTAAAGCGCAATAATTAATACAAAATTCATCACCATAATTTCATATTTTCATCTTAACTATGCAAACTCTCATTATTATTTGCACTATAATATCAAACGGTAAATCATAGTAATTTTTTCAAATCAATAAGAACATAGGGTGGCATTTCTTATATTAATAACAACAATATCATCATAACCAACTATGATTCAGTAATATCGAGTTCGATAACTACATGCATCCCTCTCGCCTTTACAAGATAGCAATTAAATAAGGGATAATTTCACAAACCATTCCTAAGGTTTGATTTAATATCCCTTAGTACTTCTATAATTTCAAAAATCTCTCTTACTTCCCTTATCATATTAGATTGATAAGACAAAATGTGTGGTAAATTATCGATATTACTTTGCTGAGAACCCCTAAATGAATAACTAAAATTCACACAAGGGGTGACAATGTTAGAAATGAAGGTAAATTGTTATCTCTCCTCTGCTCTGAATTTTTTAAAGTACAAGAGAGGACAATGCTACAAAACATATCAATCAAGGGGAGGTAAGAGGGAATTTTTTTTGGGTTAGTTACATTTACCTCCCTTGAGGTTTGACCAAATAACGAATCGATCCCTGAGATTTGGACAAATAACAGTCCACCCCTTTGAATAACCAGACATTTAATAATTACCCACCTGCTGTTAAGAGACGTTAGTGATTATACTTGACATCAAGAAAAAGAAAAGTGTTAATTACATTTACCTCCCTTGAAGTTTGACCAAATAACGAATTGATCCCTGAGATTTGGACAAATACGTTATTTTAATTTTCATAAATTTGTTTAAATATGAAAAATTGGTTAAATAGCGCATTAAATACAAAACCTGCCAGTTTCCCATAAAGAACTGGTATGTTATGGGCAATTTCTTTTTTTTTTTTAACTTTCACATATTTAATTTATGTTAAATACAAAACATACTAGTTTTTCTTTAAGCGTTATTTAACCAATTTTTCCCATAAAGAGCTGGTACAAAATATATTACAAAACCTGCCAGTTTTTCATAAAGAGTTGGTATGTTATGCGCTATTTAACCAATTTTTCATATTTAAGACTCAAAATTTCAAATACGTTATTTTAATTTTCGTAAATTCCAAATACGTTATTTTAATTTTCGTAAATTTCAAATACGTTATTTTAAAAAGCGCAACTTTCAAATACGTTATTTAAATTTTCGTAAATTTGTTTAAATATGAAAAATTGGTTAAATAGCGCATTAAATACAAAACCTGCCAGTTTCTCATAAAGAGCTGGTGTGTTATGGGTAATTTCTTTTTTTTTTTTTAACTTTCACATATTTAATTTATGTTAAATACAAAAAATGCGCTATTTAGTGATTCTACTTGACATCAGGAAAAAGAAAACTTGGAATGATGAAATTGCCTTTATTGTATCCAACTATCATCAAGATTAATTATAGTTTCGAAAATACCCTTTTCATTAAAAATATATATATAATATTGGAATTATAATTCTTTATCATTCACATCCCAATCACCTTTGACTTGCCTACCTTTATCTGTACAAAAAGAGAGAAGAAAAAGACTTCCCCATTTTTCACCAAGTTTAACGAGCAAAAACATCAAAATAAATTGGTTAAATAGCGCCCAAAGGAAAACTAGTATGTTTTGTATTTAACATAAATTAAATATGTGAAAGTTAAAAAAAAAAGAAAAAAGAAATTACCCATAACATACCAGCTCTTTATGAAAAACTGGCAAGTTTTGTATTTAATGCGCTATTTAACCAATTTTTCATATTTAAACAAATTTACGAAAATTAAAATAACGTATTTGAAAGTTGCGCTTTTTAAAATAACATATTTGAAATTTATGAAAATTAAAATAATGTATATTTGAAATTTTGAGTCTTAAATATGAAAAATTGGTTAAATAGCGCATAACATACCAACTCTTTATGGAAAACTGGCAGGTTTTGTAGTATATTTTTTACCAGCTCTTTATGGGAAATATATCAACTCTTTATGAGAAAAATTGATTAAATAGCGCCCAAAGAAAAACTAGTATGTTTTGTATTTAACATAAATTAAATATGTGAAAGTTAAAAAAAAAAGAAATTGCCCATAACATACCAGTTCTTTATGAAAAACTGACAGGTTTTGTATTTAATGTGCTATTTAACCAATTTTTCATATTTAAACAAATTTACGAAAATTAAAATAACGTATTTGAAAGTTGTGCTTTTTAAAATAACGTATTTGAAATTTACGAAAATTAAAATAACGTATTTGAAATTTTGAGTCTTAAATATGAAAAATTGGTTAAATAGCGCATAACATACCAACTCTTTATGGAAAACTGACAGGTTTTGTAGTATATTTTATACCAATTCTTTATGGGAAATATACCAGCTTTTTATGGAAAAAATTGGTTAAATAGCGCCCAAAGAAAAACTAGTATGTTTTGTATTTAACATAAATTAAATATGTGAAAGTAAAAAAAAAAAAAAAATTATCCATAACGTACCAGCTCTTTATGGGAAACTGGCAGGTTTTGTATTTAATGTGCTATTTAACCAATTTTTCATATTTAAACAAATTTACAAAAATTAAAATAACGTATTCGTCCAAATCTCAGAGTTCGATTCGTTATTTGGTCAAACTTCAAGGGAGGTAAATGTAATTAACCCTTTTCTTTTTCCTGATGTCAAGTAGGATCACTAACGTCTCTTAACAGCAGGTGGGCAATTGTTAAATGTTTGGTTATTCAAAGGGGTAGACTGTTATTTGTCCAAATCTTAGGGATCGATTCGTTATTTGGTCAAACCTCAAGGGAGGTAAATGTAATTTACCCATTTTTTTTTTAAACCATTAGGGTATTAAGTGGAGGTTTCTGAAATTATCCCTTTTAGAAAAAAAATTTTGGTTTGGCTTTTGCCGGGTATTTGATTGGGCTTGAATGTCCGACACAGTGACGACTTCGAAATTGAGAAAGCGAAAAAAATGCATTTGCCTGGAGTTACCTCTGGCTCTAAAAATACAATTCAACAACCCAGCTTCAGATTTTGCATGAAAATTCCCAGTAATTAATTCATTTCAGACCAGAAGACGATGATGATGATGATGAAGAGAAGAAGAGCTTCTTCTGCGATGATTGTTTCCATCGCTCAGTCTCAGGCAGCAGCTGCTTCGTTAGGTACTGCTGCTACAGTTAGTTGTACTGCTCTTGCTTCATTTCTCTCTGCATTCCCAAACCCTAAACCCCAATTAGCCTTTTATTCTACCAGTAGCAGTGAATTTAGATCGTCTTCTGGAAAAGCTCTGAAATTTCAATCAGGGTTGAGGAATTATATTAGTAATATCAACAGCATTGATGATGCTCTGCGCTTATACCAGCAGATGGTCCGAATGAGGCCTCTGCCTTCTGTTATTCATTTCAATCAACTGCTGAACCGTATTGTTAAGACGACTAAGCATTATTGTTCCGTTATTTACCTGTTTAGAGACATGTGCGTCAAGGGCATTCTAGTTGATGACTACACCCTCAGTGTTGTGACTAATTGTTACTGTCTCGTGGGCCGAGTGGATTTGGGGTTTTCCATATTGGGTGGCTTCTTCAAGCGTGGTCTTCTGCCCGATGTAGTCATCTTTAGCACTTTACTTAAGGGACTTTTTCGAGAACAGAAGGTTCCTCAGGCACAAGAATTGTTCAAAAAAATAATATATGACAAAGTTTGCGAGCCCAATGAAGTTATGTTCGGGGTTGTAATAGATGGCCTGTGTAAGGTGGGAAACACTCAAACTGCCATTGACTTTCTCAGAGCAATGGAAAAAGGACGAAGATTTTCTAAACCTAATACAGTTGTGTACAACACTATCATTGACAGCTTGTGCAAGGAAAAAATGGTCGATGAAGCTCTTGCCCTCTTCCAGGAGATGATTGAAAAGAGCATACCCCCAAATGTTGTCACTTACAATTCTTTGATTCAGGGTTTGTGCAATTTAAGCAAATGGAAGGAGGTTAAAGAGCTCTTCTCTGAGATGAAGGATTATAAAATTGTTCCAGATGTCTATACTTTTAGTATAGTGGTAAATGCACTGTGCAAGGAAGGACATATAGAAGATGCTGAACAGGTAGTAGGTGTCATGATTCAACAAGGTCAGAATCCCGACCCTGTCATCTACAATCCCTTAATGGATGGATACTGTTTACAGCGCCGAATAGATGAAGCAAAGAGAGTTTTTGATACAATGGTTGCTGGCAGCCTTACTCCTACTTTCCGTAGCTACGCTATTCTACTAAATGCCTATTTCAAGAACAAGAATGTGGAAGCAGCCATGAATCTCTTCCGAGAGATTCGACATAAAGGTTTAACTCCTGATATCGTTGTTTATAACACTGTTCTGCAGGGGTTATTTAGTGCAGGAAGGTACCTTAGTGCACGAAAATTTTTTGATGAGATGCAAGCTGCTGGCATGAAGCCTGATTTTTACACTTACTGTGTGGTGTTGGATGGATTATGCAAGGCTAGACATGTCGACGAAGCATTGCAATTATTCCACACAATGGAAGCAGACGGAATAGATCTTTGTATAAGAGTGTACAATATCATCCTTGATGGGTTGTACAAAAGCAGGAGGCTCGATAGTGCTCGAGATCTTTTCATTAAGCTCTCCCACAAAGGATTGGACCCTGATGTCATAACATACACCATAATGGTTGCTGGCCTGCTTTCAGAAAGTTTCATCACCGAAGCTAAAGAGCTATTGGAGAAAATGGAAGAGAGTGGTTGCCAGGCAGATAGTGTTATGTACAATGTAATTCTGCAGGAACTCCTTAAAGGAGGCCATTTTGATGACGTAATAGTCTATCATGAAGAAATGGTTGAAAGAGGTTTCTTGATGGATTCAACTACTTTTTCCATTTTACTTGATTCATCTGCTGGAAAACAGAACAATCCTTCTCTACTTATGTCGATGCTGAAGATTGATCCAGACAGCTTGAAGTTCAAGGATGCGGGAGATAGAGGACCTTCACTTTAGTTCCAACTTGTTGATCGTGCTAGTGTTTGGCCCCTAAACTTTAATTTGCTAGAGCTAACATTATTTGAGTTCACTTTTGAACTGGGCCTTGGAGGAGTTATGTTGGTCGTATTTTGTGGAATTCCTAAAAGATCTCAAGTCCTGGTGAAGAAGCCACAGTCCCTCAGAAAGTTCAATTGACAAGTGTTGCAGTTTACAGAAATCTGCTGCTGTTAATTGGATTGCTAACACTTCTTCTGAGAGGCTTCTTGTTTATCCTTTCATGGAGAACCTCTATGTGGCATATCACTTTAGAGGTAACTTGTACAGGCCTTTTTCTTCTTTTTCAATGGGTTTTGGTCCTTTGGCTTGCATGTAATGTTTGAATTTATTGGAAACATGAAATGAAACTACATCTGAAAATATAGTTTGTGATTTTGAAATTACAGAAAAGTTTCAGACTTTTATAATTTGGAGGGTTTTCGTGTAAGTAGGATAAAATTATTACTTTCATTTCAATTTCTTAATGGAACCAAGCAGCCAATTTACAAGTGTAAAAACTTTTTAGACCATTGTCTTGCTTTCGATTTGAACTTTGAGGTCCCATGGATAGTTGTGGTTACATATGAATGCTTGTTATAATTACTTATATTTGTGCAATCAGTTTTCAGTCAATCTTTAGCTTGGAGTGAGTAAAAAGAGGGTGAGTAATTAATACTTAAGGTTGCTATTCTTCTGAGTATACCATATCATATCTGCATTTTATCATATCTGCATTTTGTTGCACTACAATTTTTTTTCCTTTAGCTTTTGATTTTTAAGTAATTTCTGAACACTAGAACCAACACTAGTGGAGTCATACAACTACAGAGTACATGAAACAGAGCCTGTCAAGTGTTGTTTCACTCAAGCTAAGAGGCTAAGGTGGAGTAGACAATTAAGTGGCCTCTACATATAAGACGGGTGAAGTAGAGCTCGCTATTCTCCACTGGAGGGGAGCCAAAACCCCTCTGGAACAGCATGAGCTATTTAGACCAAAGAGCATGAGCTTTTGGTAAGAACAAGGATGCAGAACTTTGAATGCAATATATACACATTTAAGTCTTTTCCATGATAAATAAACAAATTGGATTAGATCCTCTTCGGTTTGACTTTTTATCTCCTTTTTCTTTAATATACAGTACTCCTCTGTAATGATGTGGGAAGCAATGACATAAGTAAAAGGTATGAGTAGGATGAACTGACAGCAGTGATGGTAAAAGTTGGGGGAAGAGAAGAGAGAAGAGGGCCCCTGTTTTGTACAAGTTGTTGCAATGTAACATTCGCAACCTCTTTGAAAGCAATATTAAGCCATTGCTTGAAGTAATATTGGTGTACAAAAAGGCAAGGGTTGCATTCTAGAATTGAAAATAACGTAGACTTTGCCCTACATCATGTGCTTTTACCTTGATGCTTACATTCTGTTGAGCTGCTATTGATTTTACTGCAACGATCAAACCTTATTGCTGATCCTTCATATCTGGTTCTTGTTGTCTTTGCAGGTTTTTATATTTTGCAAAGCTGTTTTGGATGTTATTTATTTTCTCACTTTGCTGCTTTTTCCTGATTAAATTTAGAAGAAGCCTTTTTTTTGTGTGGTGTGTACTAGTTTGAAATTTTTTTTTTATTTTTTGCTGTCAGTGTGATTTATATTGCATTTTTTTGTCACTTGTTCTTACACATAAGTCTTGGGTGATCAGATCATGTTTTCAGAGGAAGGTATGTCTATGACATGGGCTTATGAACAAAGTATGGTTAGGAACTAAAGCTATGGTTTATTAGTTGCTTGTAGTTACTACTAAGCTGGATTATTTTCACATGCCATCATATTAATCTGCAAGAGAATGCTCTTTGAGTCTTATGAATTGAGACATTTAGTGGGATTTTTTCCCCTCATTTTACTGCTCGACATGTTAATTTTACTGCCTATGGAATATGGGTGCTCATTTTTTATTAACTGTTTTCTGGTATATGAGATGCAGGTTTTATAGAATTTGAAAACAGCAAATGAAAGGCAGGGCTAATCTGTTGTGGAGCTGGGGATGCGATTGTCTTATGCTGTATGACACAAGGTTGGTTGCGTACAAACCATCTTCTGAAGAAAAGAACGTGATATATCTGAGAGCAAATGGTGATACTAATGGTCATCCGCATTGGGTTACAGGCCCTGCAGTCAGGATAAAGGTTCAACGATATCTCAAAGTGACCAAAGTTAGCATTATGCAGTATCCCACTTTTTTGGTTCTGATCCCCTTAATAACCGTCATTTAAATGCTTGTATATTAGTTGAGTATAAGATCTTAAAGTTAAAAAGGATAAAAGGAATCAATGTTTTTGTCGACACTGATGTTATTCTCAAGTAATTTTGCTTGCCAAATTTTTGATGTCTTTATTGGGAAACGAACTTCCATGCTCCAATTGTTACTTCTTGGACTTCATTTTTGTTTTATGAGCAATTTTGCTGTGCAATATCTTTGATCTTGAACTGTTGATCAGTAACTTGTACCGATACGGGAAATTAAACAATGTTCATGAGAACAGCAAATCTGTACGAATTATATAATATTTCTCTTGTTTAGAAATGATTGATGGAACATAGGTATGCGTGGAATTTGTTAGTGATAGCATGAATTTGTCCACATATTCTAAAGTGATCCCTCACTCACGTCGCTAAAACTCATGCCATCTTGATTTTTTCCTACTGCTGTATGGATCTAGTTTATGCAAGTCCTTATTTCAATTTTCTATTTTGCTGACAGAGAAAAATACTAACTTGTTTGCTTGTATAATGCTCAGCAGGCCTTTTTATACCACAATTACTTTTTGGGAAAATGGCCAATTTAGTCTCTTAACTTTTTTACTCCATTGATTTTGTCCCTACTATTATTTTTAGCCAATTTAATCCCCAAACTTATATTGTGGTTCCAATCAAGGATCTCAGTGGTGGCACCGTTGCATAAATTTGATAGGGCTTTTAATCGAGCAACCAAGAAGGGTATTTTGGGGACTTCAGTGTTGGGGCGGTAACAAAAAGAAGTAAACCGATGAAAAAACCTAATTCCACCCAAAAAAGGGAGATCTGCCCAATTTTTTCAAACCTCTGTACAAAAATGACTGCAATTAAATGCATTTGAGGAGTTGAGACAAAGCATGTTCAAGCTCAACTAGCGATTGAGTTTCAAACATCGTCGTCACTCGTCGTCTTAAATGGTTCAAAAAGAGGAAGCTTGATTTATGAAGGAAATGAGGAATACTACAATGGAGACAAAATTGTGTGATGCCACTGTTTTGAACAATGTGGAATTGTGATTGCATGTATGGAGGCAAACCCATCAAGAAGGTTTCGTGGATGCAGAAATTATGGGGTAATTATTTTGTGTGTGCTAAGTTTAGGATTTGTTAAAATATTGGTTGAATTGTGACTATGAAATGGTAGTGAATGCAGAAACATGGTGTCCACAAATGTTTTTTGTGGTATGATCTATCCATACCCCAAAAAATGAAGAATATAATGGACGCAATTTTGAGGAACTTGAGAAGTGTTGAGAGAGAAAATGCAGAATTGAAGATTGAAATCAACAAGTTGAATGCAAAAGTGACAATATTGTTTTTGGCTTGTGTCGTTGCTGCATTTTAGTTCTTGTTATACTTGAAGGCAAGCAAAGCCACAAGCAAGGTTTGCTAGAATTGAAGATGTTGCACTAGTTTTGGACACTGTATAAAACTTTATGGTTCATATGTTCTGGAAGTTGTAATGCCATACTTTTAAAATGAAGTAATTCCTAACCTTTCATCTAGGTAATGATAAGTTTTGGATTTGGATTGTTTAGTATTTGTAATAGTTATGAGTTCGAAGTATAGTTAAGCAAGTTTTTGGTGACAATTTCAATGTATTTTGTTATTGTTGGCTGAATTGGAAGGATTCCACAACTAATGACCCATACAAAAATTGGACAAAAGTAGGAGAAACAGGTTTGAGTAGGGTTGTAAATCGAACCAAGAAGCTTGGTATTCAGCTTGAATTTGTCCCGAATCAAGCTCGTTCAAGCTTTGATTGTTTAGGTATCAATCTAAATCCGAACATGATTTCAAATTCGAAAATATTAATGACCCAATCATGATTTTTATGTTGTCCAAATTGACATGTTCAAGAACAAGCAAGTAAATTGTATAAAAATATACCTATAGTTTTCTTCTTTAGGTCCATTCATTTCCTTCCACTGTATTGCTTATCTTCTAAAATAGCAAGAATATAATACTCTTGTCTCTTGAATAAATATAATTGATTTTAATCACATTCCTAATTCATCATAATAGATTTCTTGAATATTAGAGAGCAAAAATTAAGGGAAAAAGTAACAAATTAGGGTGAAAAACTCTATATCAAATTAAAATTTCAAGCCAAGCCAATCTTTGATTATATGTGCTTGAACTCGATACTTTAACAAGCCAAGCCAAACTTTTCATGAACATACATCTGAAATTTCAAACCAAACTCGATTAGTTTCTTTCAAAAGATTTTCAAACACAAGTCAAGTTCGGACATTCCTTTTAATTTTTAAACCAATGCTGAACATACCTTTTTCCGGCTCGTTGAGACTTGCTTTTAGCCTTAGGTTTGAGAGGTTCAGACACTTCAGCAACTTGCATTTCATTCAATAACCAAATAAACAACAAGAACATTAGTACCAGTACGAGAAAAGAAAGAAATAGGCTTTATTGCACTAAGATTACAAAATAAGCAATCTAAACATACATTTGACAGATTCTTGCACTATCTCATTTTCTTGTGGTATGCTAGTGTTTCCAATCACATTAGGATCTGCAAAAACATCCAAGTTAGTAGTAGATGAGGTAACAAGTAATGTGCAATCCTAAAGAAGTGAGTTAAAACCATACTAGAAACTCCCTGAGCATTTTCACTTTCTCCAGCAACCATTGGACAAGTTCTGGCATTGTGACCAAGCACCTTACATTTTTCA